TCGACATTTTCAATGCAATTGTATGCGCGGCTATGCAAGAACAAACTCAACGCTATTCATTTCAACGCTACGTCTGAAAAAGATCACGCAGATAGGGGGAATTTCCAAAACATTTATCGCGTTTTGTCGCAAGCTTTGTTAATGCAACTGCGAAAAACTCCGAAAAATGCAAAAATCGCACCAAAAAAAAGAAAAAAAGAAACAAAAAATACTGCAAAAAGATAAAAAATATAATTTCGACGGGAAATAATAGTCACTTTCGAGAGATGCAGAAATATGCTTGTTAATAGGATCTGCTATTATATATTATTAATAGAGAAAAAAATCAAAATTCTTTATAACATATCGAAGACTCCAATCAAATATATAGCAATCGCAAAGCTATAATTTTTCAAGAGATTGTGCAATAATTTTCCTCTCAAAATATTATAATTTGAAGCTATATTTACACACAAACTTTTACAGTTATTTACGTTATATATAATTGTCTATAGATTATAATGTAAAGACTTATACGTGTTCACTTAGATGTGTTGTTTTCCGATTTTTGCGTATTGGTATTCGCATTCAATAGCCAAACGATTCAATAGATATCCAGTTGTCTCGATTCTTGCGATCACGAACGTTCTATAATAATTTCGCTTTAAATTGCTCGTACAAATATGTATAAATAAATTTTCATCCTCAATAACAGCAACAAAGAACGCGAAAGAAGTGTACGTTTTTCAATATTTTCTACATTATCGGTTCGTCTCAATTCTTCCAATTTTCTTTATTATTATTTTTTTCAACATCGTTTCTGTGTGCATTTCTGCGCGTGACTATTCCCCGTAAAAAGATGCTTCTCGCTCTTATTTTTTTTTTCTCTTACTATAAAATACATTCGAGAGATACGGCGCATATGCTGTATATATAATTCAGAGCATAAATAAATCGAGATGTCATCGAAATTTCGGCGACGGATATGTCGAGTTTCGTTTTTCGAATGATATCATATTGACTCTTGAGCAGCGGAGCCCGACGATGTCAGGGGAAACGTTAGCCACCGAGCATAAATTATGGATTATCAGTGCGATGCCGGCCGATAAGTATTAGTTTAGTTTGAAATTTGTTAGCTGAGCCGGAGCATCCTAGATACGGTTCTCGCGAGCGGAAAAAAAGTGCGCGCGACAAAGTTAGATGAATCATGAATAAATTTACGCGCCGAACCTTTATATTCCGGGGAATGATCCAAGTTTCTTTATAATATATATATATAGATATATATACTCTCTCTTGACGCCGCGATATAATCCTGGAACTTGTACCTTGTGGCCGAACATAAATTGCGTCGTACACGTAAATTAAGTGTGCTGCCGTTCGTCGAAATTTACGCTCGCTGTATTAAATATCGTCGTCGAAATGAATTGCTTACTGCAATCTACCTGTTAGCAAAGTAATACCTATGCTGCAGCGCCTCGGAATATGAGACAATAATTCCTGCTTTCCTAAGAGTTTACCGAAACAGCTGATGTGATAAGTCATAATGTATGACGTGAATTATTTCTGTCTTTAGTTTATTCAAGAAAATCGATCTATCTGATTCAGAAATTATCAATAAAGTAATTGTCATGCGCCCTGCCAAAATAAATGCAATAATGTATCATGTGGATTATTTTTGTCTTTAGTTTATTCGAGAAAATCGATATATCTGATTCAGAAATGATCAATAAAGTAATTGTCATGCGTCCTGTCAAAATAAATGCAATGTATCACGTGGATTATTTCTGTCTTTAGTTTATTCAAGAAAATCGATCTACCTGATTCAGAAATGATGAATAAAGTCATTGTCATGCGTCCTGTCAAAATAAATGAAATGTATCTCGCGAATTATTTTTGTTCTTAATCCATTCGAGAAAATCAATCTACCTGATTTAGAAATGACGAATAAAGTACAATAGTTGTCATGTGTCCTGTCAAAATAAAATGCAACAATGTATCTCGCGAATTATTTTTGTTCTTAGTCCATTCAAGAAGATCGATCTACCTGATTTAGAAATGATCAATAAAATAATTGTCATGCGTCTTGTCAAAATAAATGCAACAATGTATCTCGCGAATTATTTTTGTTCTTAGTCCATTCGAGAAAATCGATCTACCTGATTTAGAAATGATCAATAAAATAATTGTCCTGTCAAAATAAATGCAAGGTTTTTTAAAATCGCAGCCTTCCTAATTAGACTTTCGTTTGAGAGTCTTCGTTTGAAAGTTTCCCTCTTTGAAAGAGATTGAATCTTCTATTATCTGGTCTTATCTCGTAGACAGGCGTAATACTTATTCGTTCGAGTTGACAGCAGCACTCGAGCGACTAAATTTGCAAATTTACACGCCCAATCGGAAGCGACTACAGACTCAATTAGCCCTGCGGAAAACTTTAATGGCGGGATTACGATGTCAACAACGTTCTTCTCGCGCGAAAGACATTCCGCGCGCTGAACGAAATTGTTGTTTATCAAAATGGCAGTCTTCCAAATGCGCGGCTTGCCATCAAGTTTTCAGAATCACGTCAAATGCTTGGCTATTTAACTCTGGTTTATTTACTTTGCCGTGCATCTCTAGCTTAACTTCAATTTTCATTATCTCTAAAATACGAGCTGCTTCTCATAAAGTTTGAGAGATTTTATAATTTCAATTTTTAGCGCATTTATGTATCTTTGTATAATTGAGAATAGAAATAAATTAATTAAAAGTAGAGTATAACTTTAATCTCGATTTATTCTTTTAAAACTTGCTTTTCAATTATTTGTAATTCAAAAGTCACAGAAATGTCTTAGCGATTTTTTGTATGAAGGAGAAATCAAAGAACGAAAGTTGATAAAAACCCTGGATAAGAACAATACAAATATCGATGAGAAAGGTGTTTATATTTTATATAATTGATACGCATACTCATATATTACGCAAAGTACTGTAGGAAAGTACAACGAAAGGGCTGTCCTCGTTTTAGAAAGAAACATGATTACAGCTACTTTTCTATAATCACATATTATTACATAGATCGAACCTACTTGTCGCGCGCCACGATAATCTGCACTATTAATTCTGAATATTTGCTCTATGTATTAATAAGTGCTCTATAATATGCAGAAATCAAAAGCAAAAATATATAAAAAACGTTTCAATGTACGTGCAATAAACAGAAACATTCTAGAACAATTATTATTCGAGTTATGATGAATCGTTTTGGGGATATGATTAAAATTGTCATTTAATTAACGATTATGATTTGACTATAAAAAATTCATCTCTGATATTACACGATATAATTTATATGCAACTGTAATTTAAGATTTCCTAATTAATTTTAATTTTGATCCCCATGATTGGATTAACATATTGTACACGCGTAGACAATACACACGATGTACACGAAAATATCACATATTTATATATCTTGTTATGAAATGCAAATTTCTCCCATAACAATTTAATATTAAATTTTATGTTCCCTTTTCAATTTACAGCAAATTGCTCTGCCGATGTAATATTCGATATATATCATTATTCTTTATTCAAGTTTTTTTTTTTTTTTTTTTAACGATAAGCGAAGAGCTGTCAGCGCTTTCTGCACTGAAAATATTCACAAACAAACGCGAATGGAAAAAGTGGATTCAATAGCATCGCGTATACTTTCGCGGAGCATATCTCACATAGATTCGCGATACAATTCGTCCAATTTCATTTATCGATATTATGTTATCCTAAATTGACGATTAATCTATCCTCGCGTTCTCGTAAACATCCTGTGCGGAGGAATTACTTTACGAAAAAATTTATCGCCCGCTCTTTCATCTGCGGATAATTTATTGCGAAAGTGGTAATGCAATTAGTCGCAAATTATAGGTAGGTTGCGAAATAAATCGTGATACAATCGACAAGGAAAATTCCCGGCGAGAAAGAAAACAGAATAAACATTGTAGAATAAATCTCCGACTGATCGCGTGATTTCGCGAAGCGGAATAACTGTTACAAATGGTATGCATCTATTTTCGTCTATCTGTTACATGTTATACAAATAAAAATCGAGCTTGAAAAAATTTGAAATGTAAAAAAGCCGAAGATTGCAATCCGATAAAAATCGCTCGTGTAGAATCAAGTTTATTCCCCCATAAAAGGATTATTCGAGGAAACGATGACCGGAAGCGCCTGCTCGTCTCTAAGCAATACCTAAACTGCTCCTAGACTCGCTCGATATATCGAAGGAGCTTCGCGGATCTTTCCCGCCTTCCATTACAGCTAAATCCTTCAAATCGAAATCGATCGCGATACATTGCGAGCGCAGAGTGACTTTTACGATTCTATTTTAGGTGGGAGTGTTATTGGGACTAAAGGGGTGGAGGGCTGTCTCCGATCGATCTCCTCTCGCTACGTTACTCCAAGAGCCGCCACCAAGATTCACCTCCATTCGTGCTAACCTCCTTCTATTTTCTGCGGGTTCTCTCGAGTGCCAGTTCCCCGAGCAGAGTTTCGTGAGTTGCGTCGTTCGCGATCAATATCGCTTTTGTGACTTCTGCTCCGCAGCCTTGAGGAGCACTCCGCGTATACACATACAATAGTTTCGTACAATTAATTGAGGCAATGAGTTGTGCGAGAGAAAAGAGCCAAGGGGAAATCTCCGAGTGCTAGTAAAAAATAAATACTAATCACGCATCTCAATCTAATCGGACTGAACATCAATTTCCCCCGTCCCTTTATCCGCAAAATATAATCATTATCTCGCATCTATCGTACTTATTCACAAAGTGCCTGAAGAAAAGGCAGCCTAGTATTAGTTATTGCATATCGGCAGCCCTTCTTACAACGTTATAGATGATTGCGACGATTTTTGAAATATAGCCAGCCGAGGGGAAGAAAGATTAGAGAGGCGCGAGGCTATTTAAATCTTTCTGTCGGTCCTCCAATTTAAATCATTCTTTGTCGAGTTCTAGATATTGGAAACGGTTATATAGCGTTACACTCACCTGGTCGACGATCTCCGTTAGGTCGTGCAGACTTACGTTGTAAATGGCGTTCCTGCAAAACGAAACGAGAGCGTTAAATCCTTCCCATAAATCGTGCCCGTAATCTCTGCGTCTCTACGCGTCGGCGATTCGGATCGAAGCGCGAGTAAGCACATTAGTAATTATGGATAAGGCACGAGGAGTTAAGAACGGAAATAAGAAGGAAAAAAAATCGAGGCGGGAATTTAAAAAATGCACTGGGAATAATTTTTAAATGGTATAATAATATTTTTTTTTCAGGGGGGAGCAGACGATTTCGCAATCCCTCCGATGGAGTTGCATGCGCGAAAGAAATGAAAGTGCGAAGAGATAAATCAAGCGAAAAAATTGAAAGGACGAAATTGGAGTCGTAAAAGATCCGCGCTATATATCTCGAACGTAATTGATTTTACGACTCACGAACATTGTGCTGACCGTTGGCGGGAAACACCGATCGGGTGAAAAAAAATTAAATTATTTTTTGATCTGTATCAAATTTCCATTAGCCAATGTATTTCGATCAGATTCCGCGAAATGATACGCTTTTGATCCGCGGCCCGTGGCTTTGCCCGGCCAGATTGATAAAATAATATCAGAAAATGGACAAGTTACATACGCACAACACAGAAAACGACAAAAGCGAGGGAAGCCGCTCTCTCAAAATACGAGATAAATTTTTTTGAATGAGAACCTTTGTTGTCCTCTATCGATTGAATCCCTAGTGATTCGATAACAAGATGAGTCACTCCTAGTCTTTGTAAGTTCTCTAATCAATTTAGAGTCGACTGTTTCTCAACAAACACGCTAAAGGACCAATAATATCTAAATTATCTTATTAACAACTAAAATAAATTTACTCTTCTTTTTCGCGAAAATTAATTAAAGATAATATGATATCCCGCAATTTAATTTCGAATAACTTTTAATGGGATTTTCTCTTAAAATTCTCTCAACTTAATAAGGTGATTAATGTTAAAAATCGAAATTGTACTCGGTGAAACTTTCGCTAAAATAGTTAAAGGGAGAAAAGATTAGCCGAGAAATCCTCAGGAGCTCAACCCGATATATCGCATTGTCTTTCCATACAAATAAATCGCGCGCGTAAACAACTTTTCTGTCACTAGTACGCGTGATGCTGCGTCACTCGCGCTGCTGATGCGTAATCGAATGAATGACTCGGTCCGTCAGCCACTTGAGGCTCGTGGCATCAATAAGCGGAGAGTCTAGCCGATGACTATCTCATTTATGTAAGCCCCTATGAGTAACACGAGGGGACGACGCGGCAAAAAATCGAATCATGCAACAATTACCTGGCACCAATCAGGATAGAGGTTGCTGCACGGTCTAGGAGCTTAAAGTGCTCCACGTGGCTCTCATTGCCCAGGAATCGTTGGCCCATTACCTCACCTGCAACAAGAGAAAAGGCGTTAGATTTTCGAACGAATAGAAATCATGATTAAAAATAAAATGTGATATTTATAAAGATAAAAATGGTAGCTCGTTTTCCAAAAAAATCTAAGTGATGATGTGTTAAAATTAATACGAACCGTTAAATATAGATATCCATGCTAGAAATATATTTCTTTCTATAACCGTATTATTATTGTTAAAATTTCTATTCTTATTCAAGTCTTCCTTCGTCAAAGGTTAGCGATCAACTGTATGAAACTTTAGTCCTACACGTAATACACCTCTAGTGACCTTGTACCAGTGAAACATTATAAATTCAAATGATGTTTACGTTACGTACCGACAAAAAATATTCTTCTATTTTGAACGCTCAATAGTATGAATATCTATCCCCAAATATCCATGTATAATTTATAATATTGTGTGCGTATAAAATGTCTTGTATATAATTTATTTCTTAAATTAACAATTATATTATAATATATATTGTAATTATTATATTATAATATATATAATATATTAATTTATAATTGTTAATTTATTTCTTGAATTAACAATTATAAAGATATCGAAGAAATAAATTTAGATTCGTGTAAAAAAAAATGGTAAAAGTGCTATGTAAAATTAAGAAAATAGAACGCAAAAATAAAATATCCAATATGAGTATTCAAAATGCATTTCTTATAAAGTATTCAAGCAGTATATGTTCTCCGTGAATTGATCAATCATGCATTTGAATCATGATATGTGTCGGACTTTGTGCGCGATCTGCATCTTGTTATTCCTTGCGTTTGCGAATCAACCATTCATATATACATTATTATTCTGGCACATCTTCGCGCGGTATACACATTAGTCACATACAGTACTGGACAAAATAAATCATACACCTTTCATAAATAAACAATAAATTTTTTACAAAATAATTGAGCATAATTTTTATTATTTCCTATTTTCTTTATTTAAATGCTTTGAAATGCTTCGACTTTCCTGTATCTAATAATCTATTTGCTCGTTAAAAGAATAGTTATACCAACAAATTCAATTTGTTGAAAGGTGTATGATTTATTTTGTCTAGTACTATATGTATATAAAAACATAGACATACACAGACAAAACGTATGTATATAAAATTCTAAAATTCTCTTCGTTAAAAATGAAATTAATTGTTTTTTCAAATCATTTTTATAAAAGCGAGAGATGCCTCTCTCATTACCTGAATTTTCAACGTCAAACATTTTCATATTCGTATCGCGAATGTCAAGATATCCAATATATGTAAATTAAAACTCGACAAGTCCGAGATACCTCTGTAGAATTCACGACGGAAATGCGATGTAACAACCGCGCATCTCGCCGACAGAGGAACTTGTTACGATAAGCGGTGGGAATGAAAAGAGGTGGAAAGGGCGGGGGGAGGGAGGGAGGGAGGGAGAGATGCCGAGAAGATATCCAGGAAGCACATGTAAAAGAGTATAAGGGAGAGTATCTCTTAGCCTTTAGTCGAGACGATAAAGCGCCGCGCCTACTTTGTACAGCACCGGCTCTCTGCATCCGATTCTCCCATCCCCCTCGGTTTCCCTCCCTCCCCCCCCCGCAAACTACCACCGACACTCCATATCCGCTTCACGACCCTTTCTTCCTTCTTCTCTATCCACCTACAACTGCCGAGTCCCTTCACCTCGGCGATCCAAAGAGCGCTCTTCCCTCTGATATTTCACGTTATGTTTTTTCACTTACGTATATGCGACTGGATTTATAGGGCATGTATCGGGAATAGCGAGGAAAGATAAGAAGGAGAAGGAAGAGAGAATAGGAGAAGCATTTTTACGATCTTTTATATGTTAATACGACGTCGAGAAGTCTCCTGGAATAAAATTCTTTGCAAAACTTGTTTAACTGGAGACAACTTTATAATGAATTACCGTAATTACGTAATACTCTTTGCAGCCGTATAAGTGCAATTGTATCATTTTATAAAGAATCGAATGAAAAAAATTGTCGATAGAAAATACTTTTTTAATTGTGAGAAAATTATCGTGTTTATAAATTAAAAAAAAAAGATTAAATACAAATATGCGCTCTTAAAATTAATGTTTCTCTTATTAACGATTTTTTAAAAAATTATTTCTTTAATATAAATTAGAGCAATGCTTATTACGAGAGGGCAAGTCATCTTTCTTGCAAAAATACATGCAATAAAAGTTTTTATCTATAACAAATTTTTTTATAAGCATGTATAAGCAGAAAGCATAAAGACATGTATTTATAAATGTTGAGAAAGACGGAAGAGAAGGATTTTAAATAGCACTTGAAAAATCGTTATAATAAAAGCTTAACGTTTCTATCGAGTACGCGAAATCGCGCGGATCAGTCTTCCAATACGTTAATCGGCTCGGACAACATCCTCGTGTCATTCATCCGTTCTCTCTATTCGCAAAAGCAGACTGTCGTCGAGATCTATAAGAGCTCAAAGATAATCTTACTTGTATATGATTGCAAAAGGAACGGCTATTTTTTTTTTGCATGATTGTTCGCAACGCGTCTCTTTTTTTACAATAGTAATAAAAAACATGCAGACCGTAAAAGAGGAAAAAATTCTTCCAATCGGCTTTCTTTCCACTTTCGATGGCTTAGTAGAGCTTTTAGTTTCCTTAAGAACATATTCCATAACGTATTATTATTTTTCATATCAAAAATTTGTTGCTTTTTCTCGAAAGAAGAAAGATTTACGAGAGAAGAGAAACAAATAAATAATTAATGATTGTTAAATAGAAAATCATTTTCATTTCATGTATTGCAAGACTTTGGTATACATCTATCGCAATATGTGTATAAATTGAAAATTATCTTATCCGATAAAGTTTATCGTTCCTTTGGAGATTTTCCTCAAATAAACAGGTAGGTAAATATCGTCCAATCAGAAATTCCAGTTAATAAAGTCATCCGAGAGTTCTTTGATCCCCCAAAATTGCTAAATATAATCATCCACGATATTATAGTTCTATCCATCATTCATGTGAATAGAGAGTACCGGGCGAAAATATGTTCTAGACTCATTTGCAAGGCGAACATATTTTCACTTCAGTATACGTTACCTTAATTTTGATAGCGCTGTGTTTTTTCTACGATCGCGATGCATATGGATGCAGTTTCTAGCTACGATTGCCTGCGGGACGTAAGTGTACATACATGCATACATATGCATAAATGTGTATACATGTATTGTAATCACGGGGAGGGTAAGTTTGGCACGCGCCAACTTTTACGATGTAATTTCTTATTCACGAGCGTCGTCACCGCCTTAGATCGGCACGCGACTGATGCAGATAACGATCGATTTTCGCCTCAAGAATATATATATGATTTATGTGTCGAAATTATATTCAGTGTCTCCTAAAAAAAAAAGCCTATTAAATGTAATACCTAACATTTTCATCGAAAAATCGACACCGAATCCGCGGTTAAAATAACGTTCAGTGATTCTAAGACACCTTGTATACCAATCGCGTATACGGATAGCACGAAGACCGTGGCATGGATAAACGAAATTGACTTCTCGACGAGTCGAGTCATTTTCGAAACGTGTATTGATATCGGCTCGTGGCTTACGAATCCTGGCTCGCATTGACTCGAATCAATTTCCTTGGCTGGTCGATGCTTATCGACAACTCTGCTTCCTCTATCAATGTTCGGTTCGTGATCGATTGAGCTACGTTCGTTTAATTTTCATCGCGTAACAGTGGATCCCCGATTGGAAGCAGGACGTGATCGCAAGATTTCGATCTACGAGTATTGAAATTGGTAATTAAAATCAATTAGCGATTGATGGATAAACAAAACTGGTAAACTTTACCAAAAATACACGACAACATTACTTTTTATTTTTTTTAAGAAGAGACAAAGAAATCTTTTATTGCCATTTTTAAAATATATATAAACCGCAAATTGTGGCACAAACGAAAAAAAAGATAATTACCTGGAAAAAATATATCAAAATTGTAAAATAAAATTTTCTTTAAATAAAATGTATATAATTTTATAATTTCGATATTAAAACTGCTATCAAGTTTGATGACACATATGAGATAACACATAGAAGATTTTTTGAAATTATCTAAATTTGAAACGAGAAGAAAAAATTTATTTCTTTAAAATTTTTATAAAGAGAGAAATTAGTTTTAATTTTCTTGAAAACAAAAAAAATTTTAAATATTTTGTTCCACAATTTTAAAAAATTTATTTTTTCGAAGAAATATACATATAGTAATAAACAATTTTGTTTCGCCAAAAATTAAATTCTAATAATGTTTAAGAAAAAGTTTTAATCGATAAAAGAAAATTAATTTAGTAATATAAATAAAATAGAGTTAAAAAAATAAGACATATGTGTTACATACAGCAGGAATATAAACGGAATAAAATAGTTTCCAATCGAGTCCAAATGTTAGATATAAGAAGTCGATCTCTTTTATACTTTTATACAATATATATACACACACATACACATAACACAATGTTCCAAAGTGCATTACTTCTAATGCTCGAAAGTTTTGTTGGTTTACAGTTACTTTAGTTACTTTGCACTTTCTCGTGTCTTCTCTTTTTCTTCCAAGCCATTTGCTTTCCATGAAGATTCCGTTTCAATTTTTGAGAATAGGCAATTTATGATTTATTTTTTTATTTTCTTTCTCTCTCTCACAAGCAAGAGATGCAATTTGTATTCAAATATATTCAAAATAAATATTATTTCTTTTCTCTTATATTACACAAATTCATAAATAAATACAAAATTAAATAATTGAATAATATAAACGTAAGTATTTTTTTTAAAACTTGCAATAACCCTTTATAATAATATAACCAAAATATTATACACACATTAATATATATTAATATATATTATAACATATTTTTAAACGGATAAATATACAACGTAAATATTAAAAATATAAAATAAAATCCTTTCAAAATCAATCATAAAAAGCTGGACATAA